TCACCTGGCTGTGGTTGACTAGCTCACTGCACACCTGTGGGCAGCACATGGCTGTTAACTCTTTAAAAAAAGCTCCGTCCAGTGCTCTGGGCATGACACGGTGGCAGGACTGCAAGGCTGCAGGAGAGCAGAGCAGAGGCTGGAGTGGTGGCAGCGCCAAGGACAGAGGTCCAGAGGATGGCTGTGTGGGGTGGCTGTGCAGGCAGAGGGGCCCAGAGGCAGAGACCGGCTTGCTGCCTGCAGACTTGCTCTGACTGAACGGGATTTTAGTGACTGACCTGCCACCTGGAAATAAAGTTGGGTATAACTCTTTCACCCCAAGAGTGTTTTGCTGTCAATTTCTTTGGTCACATTGAATCCATAGTGAACTTGCCTGCAGCTGAAACCCATTGGCAAGACAGAGTGTGAAGCTAAGTCAGAGAAAGACAAATACTGTATGATTTCACTTGTATACGGACTCTAAAAAACAAAATAAATGAAAAAACAAACAAACCGGCTCATAACAGAGAACAAACCAGTGGTTATGTAGGGCAGTGGGGAGAAGAGGACCAAGGGGGACAAACTCCCAATCACAAAATAAGTAAGCAGCAGGCATGGATGTAGAGCGTGGGGCACACAGTCGGTGACACTGCGGCATTCTTGTACCAGGACAGTGGCCATGCTTACGCGCTGAGCCTTTAGTGATATGCCTAACCAACCAACTGCTGTGACCACACCTGAAACTAACAGGATATCATATGTCAATTACCTTCAGTGAGAAAACATTTCACTTCCTGGTTTCTTTAACTTTCATACAGAAGATTAAAGTGGTTAAAAAAAAAAAAAGGCTACAACCCACCCAGGCCCAACAGGAACCCCCCAGCAGGAGCCTCCACACACGTTGTGTGCAGGTCCCAGAGCAGCAGGCAGGCCTGGGGACACGTAGACAGCAGCCACCCTGAGAGGAGGGGTGGCACCTCTGTGACTTCTCATCAGACGACAGAGGTCGTAGGTCTGCTCGCAGCCGGACCCAACTTCACGGGCACAGACATCCCTCTGCCGCTGCAGCAGAGCTTCAAAGGAGACAGAGCAGAGCCACGCAGATCGCAGAGGAGGCACAGCAGATGCATCAGTTCTGTGCAGACACAGACACTTCCTCTACCGAAATGGCCCAAAAGATCACAGGGGCCCTGAGCACCATCAGCCACCAGAGAGACCCACTGACCTGGGGAAGGGACACATGCTCCCCAGCACCAGAACCATCATCCCCATCATGGAAAACCTGCCATAGAAGAAAACCCTGGGCCCCAGATGGTTTGGCTGGTGAGTTTCAACAAATATTCAAGCAAGAAATAAATACCAGCCCTATATAATCTCTCTCAGAAGACAGAGAGGAACAGGTCCCAATTCATCCTGTGAGGCTAAAACCAGACAGACAATACAAGAGCCTCCAGACTGACAGCCCTCATGGACCCAGATAGAAAAATGTTGACAATATACTAGCAAAGAGAACCCTGCAGACCTAACAATAGTCCATCATGACGAAGTGGGATTTTCCCTAGGACATAAGGTACAGTCAACGTTCAAAAATAACAATCTCCCCATGGTAACGGAAAGCCACATCCTTATAACAACAGATGCTGAGGAAGCATGACAAATGTCAACATCCATTCATGATAAAAGGCCTCAGCAAACTAGGGAACTTTCTCAAGCAGATGAAGCGCCCCCCCAGGCTTCATGCGGAAGACGGAAGTCCCACTCTGACAGGGGCCAGGCGAGGACGGGCCCTCACCAGACCTGTGCACACGTCCTGGGAGTCCCAGCCAGAGCAGCAGGCAAGAAAGAGGGACAGAAGACATTCACATGGCAGAGCAGCAGAAAGTCTGCAGATGGCACAACTGTCTAGGTGGAAAATCCTACAAGAGGGCTCAGAGCTGATAGGCAGGTGAGCCCGACTCAGGGCCAAGTTCAACATACGACAGAATGTTTGACAAGTGCCAAACAACATCCCCCTGGGAAATGAAATAATTGGATATAAATCTAACTGTTTACGGATCAGAATGCTGACAGCTACAATACATCTAATAAAAACACGTTAAAAGATTTAAATACATGCAGATGAGAAGATTCAATAAAGATCAAACATGATTATAGTCAAGATGTCAATGTTTGACCCAGATTGTTATGATAGCTTTATTAAGATATAATTCATGAACCATAAAATATATCCTTTTAAAGCACACAATGCAAGTGATTTTTAGCATATTCACAGGGTTGTGCAACCATCAACACCAAAATGTCTAACTTGAGAATTTCATCAGCCCCAGAGCCCGCGTCTTCAGCACTCACCCCTGGCCCCCAGTCAGTCTACGTCCTGGACGCTTCCCGTAAGTGGGATTATACAGCACACGGCCCTTTGTGCCTGGCATCTTTCACTTAGCACACTTTCAAGGCTCATCCATGCTGCAGTGGAACTGGTCCTTTATTATTCTTTTTTTTAATCATTAATCTACAATTACATGAAGAACATTATGTTTACTAGGCTCCCCCCTTCACCAAGTCCCCCCCCACACCCCATTACAGTAACTGTCCATCATCGTAGTAAGACGCTATAGAATCACTACTTGTCTTCTCTGTATTGCACAGCCCTCCCTATGCGCCCCCACATTATACATGCTAATC